TCTCCGCCTCCGCCTGCCTTGGAAACTGTGCTTGTCACCTGGAAGATACGTGATATCTGCAACCTGAGGCTTTTCAAGGAAAAAAAGGCATGCAGGGGAGCACGAAGGAGCCGACGCAGCTGCAGCCCTGCAGGTCAGCTGCGTAACGCTCTGCAAGCCCTTGCCGAGCCAGTGGGGACGCGGTCCCTCCACCTTGCTCCATCCTTTGCTGGGAAATGCACGGCCCCATCCCCAGTGTGACTGCTGCGGCAGCCCCAGCTCGGTGCAGGGCTGGTGTCAAACCTGCTGCCTCTGTCCCTGTGCCGGGGAAGGGACAGCCTCTGCTCTGGGGAGCTGGCACCTCTGGCGCAGGGCGAGGATGGTGGGTAAAGAGAGGTGGCTGGGGCAGAGAGGCGCTTGTTGCCCAAACCAGCCCTGGGGCAGTGTTATGGGCCCCACAGCAGCAGCTGCGGGGACCCACACCCGGTCCAGGCTGTGCTGCCCACGCTGGCAGCCGAATCACCCCCGGTCTCCATGCTGGCCTGGGTGTCCCAGCCCCAGCAGGGCTGCACCTCCAGCTCATGGATGCAATCCTGCCTGCACTCTGTGTCGTGTCCTGGAGTCACCCCAGTGTGAGGACCACACATCCCAGCCTCAGTGCAGATGCCCCGTCCTCCCCGCTGTCTCATGGTGCGCTGGGGCAGGTCACTGTTTCCCATGGGACACTCCTGACCCCGGTGTCAGGGGGAGCAGAGTCAGACCTCACGCTGTCCAGCTGCAGCTGAGCAGGGCTCAGGCCCAGAAATGTGTATCTCGGGCACAACCTATGGCACATACTACACTTTTCCTTGCTATAGCATCTAGGCAGGGTCTGAGCTGTGGCAAGACTGGACTCGCCAAGGAATGGGCTAATTTAACCTCCGAGTGCTTGTAACCATCCAGTGCAGTGCTCTGAGCTGCAAGAGACAAATCAAGCTGGTTTTAAATCTGCATGCGGTAATAAGTCAGCGCTGCACTGAATACCAGGGGAAAAAACAGTTCCTATGTTTTTGTCCCGGCAGCAGTGCTCGCTTGCTCTGTGCTGGGCTGATCCCTCTCTACAAGGAGAGCCCAGGAAAGGCCACTGGAGCATCACCCCCTGGAGCCCGATCCAGAAATGGAGATTTCCCCAGCCCTGCTGGGATGGTCCTGCCATCCTCCCTGCCTTTGATTGCAGGTGTCTGGCAGGGCTACGGCATTGCTCACAGCATGCAAACGCCGGTCAAGCGCAGGGGTCTTCATGGCATGGCCCCACGGCGGGCAGGGGATGCCTGTGGACACCTTGCAGCCTGCGTGCCTGGACATGGACCACTCCACAGCGATGGAGGAGGTACAAAATCCCATGGAGAAGCAGCCTGTGACAGCTCCAGCCCCTTTTATTGCTTCTGCTCTGTGGTCCAAGGGGAAACAGGCTTTACAGCTTTATTTGTTATAAAAGATATTTAGGAAGCTGATTGCTACCTAAACCTACTCCTATTTCTGCCCACAGGGACTCTGCCTAATGGGGTAATGGCACTGCTGGGGCTGGCTACAGGCTTTTCGGACACGGCGACTTGCCCAAGCCCACAGGGAACACCCACCCCCTTTCCCCCGCAAAAAGCAGAGCCATGGGTGGGAAACTGCAAAACCCAAACTCAATTTCTAGGAAGCTGGATGCCAATAAAACCCAGTGTTTATTGCAGTGCTCCTCACCGGCCTCGGTTTTATAGATGTGCATTTAAAAATAAAAGCTCTGTGCATCTCAGCTGGCCACAGAAAGGCTTGAACGTTGAAAGGGCCGATCCGTTGGGTGATGGAGAGCCACCTCCTGGCCCCAAGCTCAGCAGGAGCAAACAGGCCAGCTCCCTGCTCGGGATTTCTGTGCATCGAGTCGGAGCCTCGTGCATGAGAAACTCCAGCTCTGCTTTCAAGTATATCTGGCGTGAACCGACGCGGTCTCTTCAGCATCACATGTCCCACGAAGGGGGAAAGACCGGCTGGCACGTAGAGAGCCATGTCCCTTGGGTCCACCCCAGCCGTGGGGAAGGCGGCGGGTTTGGGCAGCTGCCATAATGACATGCCAGCTCTGGTTTTGGCTCGAGGATGGGCAGCGAGAAGGCTCCAAAGACCTTGGGCAACTCATGTTTAAATGGTGCCGCTGGGAAAAAAACCAGCTCGGACCCCATGAGGCCACCCTGGCTGCACGATGGGGCCAGCAGCTGGCAGGGCTTCAGCAGGGTTCAATATCTGGAATAGTATAAAATTGGTGAAAATCAACAGCTAAATAGCTATACTTTTCAGAAGCTATCAAATTACCCTTCACTGCATTTTACATGTAAATTATTTATGTTTTTATGAAAGCCTTATTGTGTGTGTTAATATTGCATACTGGACAGATATTTCCTCCTTTTGGTAATAATATGAGACCAACGCCAAAAGAAAGAGAAAAAAAAAAAAAGAAAAAAAAAAATCCCTGTGGTATGTAACTCCCATTGCCATGGGCCAAACCAAACCATGCTGTCTTTACACAATCACCCCATCCCAAGAGATGGGGCAGCTTTCAGAAAGACCCGAGACCATGTGGGCTTCGTCTCCTTGGCCCCGCAGCAGCCGGGGAAGGCACAGGGTCGGAAGCACCAACTTCAGTAGCCCCTCCAGGTCC